TTCTCTTGTAAGAGCTTTTCAAACTTTGAATTACTAAATTATCCCCATTTCACTTCATTTATTTTCCAGGTTGTCAATTGGTTTTCATTAACCTGTGTCTTTGGGCGTGATTCAAAGCAATTGTATAATTTTAACAATGGAAAATAAGTTTTATTCACCTTTATCTTAAATTGATGTAACTGATCATTAAGGCCTGGACAGAAACATTTTTCTTTTTAGCATTGAAAGGAGGAAATCTATGTGCTCCTAATTCAAAGCCCCCTTATAATCTCAGGGAGAAAAAACAAAATAATGTCTGGTGTGGGTAGTGAGCGTGTGTATAAGAAATATTCCTAGTATCCCGACAACATAGCTTACACTCTTGTTGGTGTCCCACCAGCTTAGGTGACGTCTTTGTCACGCTTTGTCTCCTCTCCTCCTGCCGGGGAGAGGAGGGTTTGCCACCTCCCTTGTCATCTGGTTCATAAGGTCTGCGTTGCTGTTATCGTTGTGTCGTCACTCAGGCGTGTTCAACTCTTTGCAACCCCATGGCGCCTGTCAGGCTCCTCTGTCTGTGGATTCTCCAGGCAAGAATACTGAAGTGTGTTGCCATTTCCTCCTCCAGGGGATCTTCCCAAACCAGGGATTGAACCTGTGTCTCCTGCATTGCAGGCTGATTCTTTACCACTGAGCCATCTGGGAAGCCTGTGTTAGGTGCTTGGAATTGCCAGACTGTAATGCACAAAAGATTTGAAATTTTATGTGGTAGAGAAGCAAATGGGCAGACAAAACCAAGTTAGATGGACAAGTAAACACATAGTTCCACAAGGAGGTCTAGTTCACTGCAGAGGGAAGGACAGATAAGACAGGTGGTCAGACAAGCAGAAAATAGCAATGAAAATTTCAAAAATTTTTACAGTTGAAACTGGAGAAAATCCCTTTAGGAAATGTAAGCTTTTAAAGGAAAAGCCGTTGCTTTCTGTTTCTTTTTGTGTTTTGTTTTGTAGTTGAAAGTAGATAAATGAGCTCTGGGTGAGTAGCAGCTTGGGAGAGAATCTGTGGATAGTCATAGGATCCAGCGTGTTTACCCCTCGTCATCGGTCACGACGGTTCCCGAATAGGACACCCAGACTGGGGGATGTCTGTGTGGATGTCCCCAGCTGGGTCCACTCTCACCGCCATCAGAGACAAAGCACCACAGGTGTGTGGCCGTGGTCAGTCTGCAGGTGCAGGTGTGGGCGCTGGTGAGGGTGACCACCAATTTGGCTTCTCACAGTAGAAACAGCGAAACTTGGGTGCGTCCCAGCCACACTGGACGCCTTTCCTGCTGGGCTGCTCCAGGCCCTGCCTGGGTTCTACCTGTGATGTACCACTGAGCGTCCCCCGTCAGGTGGTCCTCTCCTCTCCCGAAGCCCCCGTCACGCGGCCTTGCCCAGTGTAGGGACAGGGCAGATTCTCCCAGCTGGCAGCCCACAGAAGGCCCGTCCCGGGGACGTAGCTCGAGTGCCTTCTCGACACGGCCCCGGGGAGCCCGAGGGGAGGGTTGACACCCTCCTATTCCTCTCCCTGCAGCGTCATGGAAAAGCCTCATGCCTGCTGGCCCTTCCCTCCACCCGCAATAGCGCAGTCTCCTCCGAGGACCCGGCGTCATCAGAGCAGACCCTCCCCAGGGCACCCACCAGCTTATTTCAGAAGCAGGGGAAGCATCCCGATTCTCTCCACTCCTCTTGCCCTCAGACATCCGGCTACTCAATGCCGCACATCCGACTGTAGCGTTTTCTCATTTTCATTGTGCCTGGTTGTATAAAATGCACAGATAAACTCCGTTTGTGGGTGTATTTTTGAAAATGTATTGGATCATTATAAACTTTTCAATGCAAGCTAAAACAAAGCAACTCACTAAATATTTCAATTTGCCCACCTGTTCAAATTACTCCCCACAATGGGATTGCCATTCACTCTGCTCCTCCACTCCTTCCCGTGCTATTGTCTTGGCTTTAACAATAGACGCGAGTTAATAAAACCCAATTAAAGATGAGGGGAGCAGTTTGCAGTGGTTCAGATAGAATACCTGCTCAGGAGTAATTAGCATAAAGATGCAGGCTTGTTGGGTGAAGGATTTCCAGAAGCATCTGTACCACTGGCGCCTTCATGGCCATCCGCAGTCTGGGTGGCTGTGGCCTGATCACAGAAGCAATAGCTTAAAACATGTCCCTGCAAAGTCAAAAACATTAGCCCAGATCTGCATTTCGGCTCACAGTACTTGCAAATGTGGTTCAGATTTCTCAGCTCACAGACCAACCACTAACTAGCGGTTTAGTGATCAGAGGGATCCCACCCACAGCCCTCCTTGGAATTGCTGGCTTTCTTGGTCAGACACCTGGTTGGTGACAAGCCAATTAGTCCAATAGTTGAATCGCTTGGACTATGTAGACACATCCCGACTCCAGTTGGGAAGATCCACATTCAGAATTTGGATAATTTCAAAGAGACCCGGACATTCTGCCCCTTTGACGAAATGCCTTCCCCAACCACTTATGGAACCAATTGACCAATTAGAAAATATCCAGGAAGAGAGAGTGGCTGATCTGAAACTTTCTGATAAGTAGCCTGTGCTCTGGATTAACGGGCTTGCAGACATATGTTCTGCATGAGGGCGACCTCTTGGGTTCCTCCACGGGCTGCCCACGTGTTTCCATCCACTTTTGCAGAGCAGAGGTCTGCTCTTCGCGTGCCCTGTTCACCTCATCGGGGCCAGAGAGTTATTCCATCAGAAGAACCTGTGTAGCCAAGGGCACGTTTCTCCAACACACACTGTCACACTCAACAGTTCTTTCCTGCGAGTGGCCCCTGTGGAGAGGCCTCTGAGCACATGGCCCTGGTGCTGTCCGGGGCTCTGCTCTCCTTCCCTGGGCCCCGTCTGGGGGCAGTGTGTGTCCTATGTGTGAAGCTCGTCGTGTCGGCGGGCTGTCCTAACCCTCCTGGAGTCAGGGGTGGTGATTTAGCTCTTTCCTCACTGCAAAGGGCAAGAGAGGTCCCCATACAAATGCACAGCCGGCCTCATGCGGTGGCCTTTGAAGCCACACCGCCTCTGCCCCGGCCACCTGCTCTGTGGACGATGTGTGTGGCCCAGAGTGGTGGGGATGGCTCAGGACCCCACGGGCTGTCCTGCCAGCCATGCCCACGCGTGTCCCCTGCTTCCAGACAGCACCCTGCTCTGTGGACTAATCCCAGATTGAATCAGGGAAGAAATGGGAAGAAATTCTAGTAAAGACGGCAAAAAACCAGAGCAAAACCAAATAAAAAACCAGGGGGTGAGCCCCCCAGATATTCAGGGTGGCTTCTGCGTTCATTTTCTCTAGAGACGCAGGCAGGGGGCTCACTCTCCCCCCTTGTGAACTCACTGTACCCCTCGTGGGCTCACTCTTTCCTCGTGGGCTCACTCTCTCCTCGTGGGCTCACTCCCCACTTGTGGACTCACTCTTTCCCCTTGTGGGGTTCCCATCATTTCAAATCATGTTCCTCCTTCAGGCGCCTCAGACTTGACCCGAGGCTTGACCCCTGAGGTCCTGTCTCGTTGGCACAGCGTTTCTCTCTGTGAAGCACTTGGTGTCTATATGTCTCCCCTGTGGAACAGACTGGGGCCCTCTGAATTTGCACTTTTTGGCTCACAAACCCCATGACTCTGCCCCTTGCGGGCCCCTGCGGGTCTGGCCCAGGAGCTGGTCTTGGGCCTGTCTACCCTGGGGACGGCCCTGGCAGCCGCGCCCCACGGCCTCTCCAGAGCCCTGGCCCAGGACCCGTGAGCACACCGCCCTGCACTCAGGGCTCCGCACTCTCACCGGCCTGGTCCACCGCGTCCCCCAGCGTGTGTAAGGGGACTGTGGAAGTTCACTCCAAACTGCACGCAGCTCTTTCGTTAGCACCTGAAGGGCCACCACAGAAGTCCAATGTTTGAGAATGAAGACCACCACCCAGCACAGAGCCCGCCTCCAGGCCCGTCCCTGCTGCTTGTGGCCCACAGGGTTCTCTCCCGGGACGCGTTTAGGGAGGGTCGTATACTGGTAAACGCAGAGGCTGGGATGTCGCTGAAGCGGGGCTCCTGGCGCCCAGTAGGGCGCAGCAGGGTGCAGGCCGAGGCGCTGGAGGTCAGCGGGCAGCTCGACGGCCTGGGGCGTGGGGCTGACTGCCGGCTGGCGCTTCCTGCAGAGGTGACGGCCACATCCTGGACTAAACAAGCCCCGTTGGAGGGCTGAGGTGTTAATTGGCGTGGGCACCACGATGTGGGGGTGGACAGGAAACGCGCCTGAGTTACGATGTCATCACAGCTGGGCCCCTAACAAGGGGCCGCGTGTGTCTCTCTGCGGCTGGATTTTCATATTTCTCAAATGGCCTGCAGTAACGGGCAGGCACACTCACACACCAGCAGGGACCTTCCGCTCAGCACAGGGACGTCTGCTCGGTGCTCTGTGGTTGCCTAGGTGGGAAAGTCACCCAAGAAGGCATGGAAGCACACATGGACAACTGCATCTCTTTGCTGTGCCCCTGAAACTAACACAGCGCTGTAGACCAACTGCAGTCCAGTACAGATTAAAACACAGAAAAGAGAAGGGTCTGTGCTGCACCTGAGCTTCTCTTCCTCTCTCTGGTTAACGGCTGGCTTTGGTCGGCGTTGCTGTTCGTGAAGTCCGACTCCACGAGAGGCGGGCTTTTGTTCGGGTCTTTCTCTTAAGCCGTGTGGCTGCTGGAGAGGCTGGGATGGAGCCCTACGTGTCCCCACCTCAGGCCGTGGGGAACATGTCCCCAGGATGGAAGCCGGGTGTCTCCACCCTGTCCTCCTGGCCCTGCTCCCTGACGCCTCCTGGGACGGGTCTCCCGGGAGTCGAGGCCTCAGGACAGGAGTCCACCTGTCTTCCCTGTCCTTGGTCAATACCCACATGAGGTTCCAGGCTTCGAGCTGTCCTATTGGAGAGGATTTACTAAGATTCATTGCAAAGCATATATTGACCAAACAGACACACCTACTGAGAGCCCACTGTGCCCTGGGCTGACACAGTGAGCCAGGTGCCAGACCTGCCCTCGTCGGGTGGCGCCCACGATTCATGAACTGACATAATCCACGGCAGAAGCCAGTCACAGGAAACGGACGGGGAGCTGGGCTGCTCTGAGGCTGGGGGGCTGAAAACACGAGGGGCGGGGAGGCTCTAGTCCCTGCCGTGGAGCGGCACTGGGCCCCAGGGTGGAGCAGAGGTCAGGGCTGGGGGGGCTGGGCACCGGCCTGGGTGCTGCGCTCCCCCACAGGGGCCCACCTGGCCAGCTGGGCCGGGCCCCGTCGTCCACTCCCACAGGGGCCTGCGGAGAAGGCTCCTGCGGGCAGCTGGTTGTGGCGTCCGGTGGAGCCTGTGCCGGGGGAGGAGGCCGTGAGGCCATGGTGTCCTCCGGAGAGGCGGGAGGACACAGGACCAGAGACTCGAGGAAGAGGCGTAGGAACAGCACAGACAGGGAGGACGTGGACTGGGATGAAGGAAGGCGGGTTTTCATGACAAACTCTGGCCTGCAGCCAAGCCCTCCCAGAGCCGAGGGCCGGGAGCTGGAGGCAGGGGTCTCTGGAGGTGCGGTCGCGGAGCCTCTCACCCCTCCCTGCGACTCCGATGCCTTGGAACACAGGTGGGGCCTGTGTGCTGCCTCGGGCGGTACCTCGAGGCCGGGGACGCACAGTCCCCGGGGCGGCTCCACAGTCAGGGCCCCTGGCCCAGTCTGCTTGCACTGCCCACAGGTCTCACAGCTGGGTCGGCCTGTGGCAGCACACGTGTGTGTCAGCACCCACCGGAAAGCCTCTTCGCGTGCTGGGCTGTAAGTGGCCTGTGAACAGAAGGACCAGCCTGTCCTGGCCGCCCCGGAGCCTGTGTGATGGCACTAGAGTGGAGGGCCCAAAGGTGCCCCTGCTCTGGCCCCGAGGGGCCCCTGGGGGAGCCCACATTCTGAGCTTGGATACTTCCCTGCATTCATTCAAGACAGCTTTAATGCAGTGCTGCAGACCATGCCGTCAGTACGTGCATTCAGAAAACAGGACTGAGTGAAGGCGTGAACACGCATGTATGTGGAATGACATTTGTAATACAATAAGTCGGGAAAGTCACCCATAGGCCACACCCGTTTTTATATTATTTTTAAATCACTTTTTTTCCCCCAAAACTAAACCTTGATTTTGAGGAAACACAGAATTCTACAAGAGTAAACACAGAAGTTTGATAAACTCTTACTTAGCATTTCCAACTGAAATATTTAAAAGAAGGCATCTTTTACTGTTGGGAGCTTGCACTTAAAAGGAAATATAAAAATGTATGCGGAATAAGGTCTGCTTGTTGCCTGGGGCTGGTTCAAGTGCAAGGTTTGGTTTGCATCTTCCAAGGGCTTCAGTTTCTGTGATTAAAATGAGAAATGGCTGTTAAGGATGAAATTAACTTCCTGAGTGGAAATTCTTGCACAGACTGATCAGGATGTTTGATGAATAAGAAATTACTATTATTCTGTAAAATCAGGTATTACAGAAGATGGAAGAGAATGTTCCTATAACTTTATTATTATTATTATTGACTGTCCCATGTTATAGACCAGGAAACTTAGTCTGAGAAACTTTACTGTGACAAGATGATAGTCACATGAAAATTTATTATTGACATATAAGAGTTATGAATTTCAATTGATCATGGTTAATTAGAACTTTCATGGCAGCCAGAGTTTCCTGATTTAAAAGCAATTTCTTCCTAGTCGCCCAAAATGGAATTAGGAATGAAGATGTCATTTAAGAAATAACATTCAGAGATTTCTGGATTTTTTAATTCATTAAGGAAATCAGTCACTTTGAAATTATGATTTTCATGTTGATTTGACTTTTCCCTGAAAGAACGTATAAGGACTTTCATGATTTTTCTGTGATTCCTTTTATATGAGTGCATGATTAGAATGTTTATAAAAAACCCAAATCTACTTGGTTCAGACAGTGCAGGGACATTCTTGTCTCCTGGGATGTGAAGAGTGTGGTGGGGACTCAGGCCAAGAGATGCTTTCTTGTGGCTCCAATACCTTTCCCTGGACCACGCCTTGCTCAACCCCCCGATGCCTCTTCCCCAGGCTGGTCTCCTGAGCCACCATCCATCCCTGGCCCCTCACTGAGGCAGAGGGGCTGGGATGACCCAGGTAAGGGCCAGCTCTGGGAATGGGATGAAGTTGATACCCTCATCTCAGAATGGCCTCAACAGAAACCCGCTCCCCCCCACTCCTCCTCGCCCCGGCTGGAGCATCCACGTGGGGAAGTCCTGTGGTCTGGTGTGTGAGTGCAAAGATCCCAGACAAGCATGGCACCTGTGAGGGCATCTCACCATCCCTACCTTTCTCTTCTCTTGAAAACAGCCATGATCAGGCCTGTCTGCCATGGCGTCCTCTTCATGCTACTGTTGCTCTTTCTGGTTGCGTAGACAAGATCTTGGATGTTGGGTGAATTCCAGTTTGGAAGAGGCATTCTTTCTTCCCAGAAGACCACAATCCCACCATCCATTTCCTAATGGTCTTCAAATTGACGAAGCTATGAGAAACTTTGTTCTCCTTTGTCATTGCAATTAAAAACTTCTTGTATTCATTTTGTGTGCGTTCATTTAGTCATTGATCCAACTAATTAGATGCCCACTCTGTGCCATGGATTGTGCAAGCCTGGAGAATTCAGTAAGGTAGAGACAGTTTCTGCCTTCATCGCCAGATAGGCGTGTACTCATATCATTGCTGCACGGTGGGTAACCTGAGAAATGGAGATACACAGACATCCCGCACAGTGTGATATAAAGTTGCTTTCCTGGGACAGGCTGCATCTTTGGGGAGAGCAGGGGGAGGTCAGGTCCTCCAGGAGAGAAACGCAGGGCGGTTATTCTGGGCTCATCACCCAGTCTGTGGATTTTAAAATCCTTCTGATTCTCTTGTTTTGTTTTCTATTTCCTGATGATTAAAACTCTCTCCAGATGTGGACTGAAAGAAGGCAAGGAGTTGACATACGGGGAAGCACTTGGACACTGAGTTTAAATGCTGGCTGGATGCTTTCAGGAAATCTATGGTCTCAATTTGTCTGTGGTCTCTGTCCAGGGGCTCCAAGCCTTGTCCTGACCTTGGTCTCTGCTGCAGCCACCTGATGCCTGATGGACAGAGACCCAGCATCCCAATTACTGGGCTTCTTCTGTCTCTGAAAGGAAGCCCGTGAGTGGGAAGGGGTTTTGTCAGATGCAGGTTGGCTGTTCAGCGTGTTCTTGGGTCCTTCCTCATGGTGAGATGATAGGAGAGAAGCTCACGGGCGCGTGTGGGTTTTCTGTCCCGCCTGCACCCCAGCTTTAGCTGCCCCTCAGTGGCCGCTCCTGGTAGAGGGTGTCGAGGGAGGGTTTCCTCTGTGTCCCGATGGGTAGCAGGGCCTGGCCAGGGTCAGACCCCCAGCTCTGGATTCTCAGCACCCCTGGTTCTGGCGTCCAGCTTGTAATAAGCCAGCAGCTTAGCAGCCTCTTTTTAAATTGGCTGGAAAGGCAGGCGAGCTTTACAACCCAAACAATCAATTTTAAGCTGCCGAACCCAATCAGACCGGATGGAGAGCGACCCTTTAAATTGAGTGTGAAATTGGGAGAGGGCTCCCCGTCCCCTGCAGGGTGTGGGGCCGTTGCTTCCTCTCCTAAGTGGGAGCTGTGACGGTGGCTGTGGTCCCACACAGGCCACGTGCCCCCAACCCTGGCCTGGTCCTGCCGTGGGTCTGGGGGGCCGGGCCCAGGCCATCTGGCCGCACAGGCGAGCCTGTGACGTCCAGACAGGGCACTTTATGCCCTTGTAAATGTACGCTCTGTCTCTCGCAGGGTCTGATTTTAATTTGGGTAATATTCCCGTTAATAATAACATCTAATTACAGCATCCATTAAAAGTTAGTAACATTAATTTAACAGGGAGAAAATCTAATAGAGTTCTTGGAGTGATATTGGCATTTTTCCATTAAATTAATGTTACAAACTTTTAACAGGATGTCTTAAATGGGCATCGTTAGTGTTGGGAATATTGAACAAATTAAATTCAGGCCCGTAATATGAGGTGGGAGCCTATTCATGAATCCAGAAAAAGGTGTCTGTTGGGCTCTTTCATCCACTTAAAATATTCTACAGGAAGGGTGGGAGGCTGTGTCCGGCTTCTGGAAAATTCCTCCAGGGACAGACGTGCCCTCTGCAGGGAGAAGGACCCCGCGGGTGTGCAGTGTCCCCTTCACATCCTAAAATACCTCTTAGAAACCCTCCTTTCCCCAGGTCTCATGAGACAAGCAGGTCCCTAGTGGACACGAGGCTCATGCTGCAGCCGCAGTGGGTGATGCTGGCCTGGCTCAGCTTCCTGGCTGGGCTCCGGCGGGCCCTGTGGTCTGCCTGGCAGGGCAGATGCAGTGTGGCTGCCTCAAAACCCAGCTGGATGGGGTCGCCTACGTCCATACGTGCAGATGAAAGACTCTGGAGAGAGCTGCAGGGGCAGCAGGAGTGAGGGCCGGCCCGTTCCTGGGAGGTCAGTGCTCTTGGTCGGAGCTGGAGCTTCAGATGCGGTGTGGTCCTCGGGGAGACGGATAGAGTCAGATGCTGTGCTGTGGTGCCGGGGACTGCTGCTGCCTGACATTTACAAACCCAGAGATTTGTGACTGAGGTTCGGTTTCACTGAGGCTGTCCCCTAAATGCACTCATTACATGCATGCTTAAGGGAGCTGGTCAGACAGATGTCTATAAAAGCTTGGTCAGAGATGATGGTCATGGAAATGAACCTTGACACTTGGGGTGGAGTGGCCGGGTGCCCCCTTGTGCTGGTGTCCAGGGCCTCTCCTTCTACTTCCTGCTCACGTCCCCGCGGTCCCCTCCCTCCTGGCTGTGGTTTAAGGACGAGTGTCTGGGGGCTTCGTGGGCGAGGGGCAGTTGGGGTGACTCTCATGCTGCAGGGATTGCTTGAATCCCCCTCTTCCTGAATTCTTTTCTAAATTGATAGGCTTGCCTGTTTTCAAGAGCTACGGTTTTATAGTATAAATGCGCACATGCACTTGTACACAACATATACACAAATAAGTATTTTGCATATATTTTAGTGACACATTCCTGCAATGGGAACCATCTGTGTCTGCTTTTATGTGTGGGTAACAGTGAGCTCACAGGTTAAGGTATTTTGCTTTAGCAGTGTGGCAGCGTGAACTGACACCAACCAAGTTCAAGTCCATGTCTGCCTCCACCCACTGTGTGGTCGTGGTCTCTCACTTTTTCTGCAGTCTCAGTTTTGTCGTCTGTAACTTGGGGTCATAACAGCCACCTGTAGGGTTAGTGTAGGCATTAGAAATAATGACTAAGGCCCTAGCCCAGTCCTGGCACAGAGGACCTACCAAATAAGGAAGCTATCATCTTATGTTTTCAGATACCAAATGAGAAGTAGAGAAATGAGTCGAATGCCTTCTTAAAGTTTTTTTCTGAACCTAAGGTTTGATGAGATACTACCATTATGGCAACAGAAAAGCTTTGTAGTGATGCCTTTGCTGTTCAGACCACAGCTGCTTCTGAGACTGAATGAATGCGGGACGTCCATACCTAGGAAAATGCTGGTTGGAGTTCTGCATGTGCTGCAAATTGCTCTGTTGTCTCAGTGCTCGGAAATGTGAGGTAATGATGTACAATGAGCGTGTGAAGTCAGGAGCTCACAACACCGTGGATAGAGAGGCTGTCACTTGAAAAGCAAATTCGAAGGGCAGATTTGGTGCCGTGAGTAGTACACACAAAAGGACTCTGGAACCCAGAAGTGAGCAATTTGGATTTTGAGAAAAGGTGTTTTTCCAACTAGTTTATGAAGTAAGATCATAGACAGGACAAAATATGGAAAAAAAA